GAAGGCTACCAGGTGGGGTCGGCCTTGCGGCCATGGGTGGCGACAGCGCTCGTGATTTCTAGCGCCGCGGCTGCGAAGCTTGCGTGGTCGATGTGTTTTTCCACGTCGGGCCTTGTTTCCTTTGGCTTCTATGCAGCTTTTCCCATTGGGCAAGGAATGCGTGGTAGTGGCAACTGTTTTTCTTAAAGGTTGCTTCCACATGTTTCCACCAAAACGTACCAATGCGAGAACGGCAAGAGAATGGTGTGGAACATTGTTGGAACAGCTCTTATCAGTTCACAGCTCTTGTCAGTTCTCTTAGGTTGTGCCCATTCTGCAGTTTGATCGAGGGAAGGGGGCAGACATATGAGCATCCGTCAAAATTATGCTTCAGAGGCTATATAAGGAAACCATCACAGTTAAGTACTATATAAAACCGCCGACCCGGCCGGCGTACTTCGTTCATGTTTCTGTTGCGTAGCGCAGCAGAGCTCCCTCGGCGATAGCTTGTGCCCAGCATTGCCCGGCCTGAATCACATCACCGCCCGGCCCCGCGCCCCTGCTCCCTGCGGCTGCGCTGGCGCTTGATTGCCTACTTGCTTGCTTGCTCGCTTGCTTGCTTGCCTGCCTGCTCAGCCGCCCGTTCGCTCGCTTGCGCGCTTGCCTGCCTGCCTGCTTGCCTGCTTGCCTGCATGCCTGCTTGCCTGCGCTGCTGGCCAGCATGCCTGCCGCCCGTTTGTTGGCCCAGTTGCTTGCTGGCTTGCTCAACTGCCTGCTTGCTTCTTTGCTTGCGTGCCTGCGTGCCTGCTTGCCTGCCTGCCTGCTTGCTTGCTTGCTTGCTTGCTTGCTTGCTTGCTTGCTTGCTTGCTTGCTTGCTCGCTTTCTTGTCACCGCTGCTGTTTTCTGCTGTGACATACGCAAACAGCCAGGCTACCTGCAATCTTGCGCCGAACGCGCGCCCTTGAAGTTAAGAAATTGACGGCGCCCTAGAAACAAACGGGGACCGATTCCCCCAAAATGACCGCCGCCCCAAAACAGGGCCGACGAGAAACTGAGAGGCTCAGTTTCTTAACTCTGAGGAACAAACAGGGGGCGATTCCCCAAAATGACCGGCTCCCCAAAGCAGGGCCAATAAGAAACTGAGGGGCTCATTTCTTAACCTTGAGGAACAAACAGGGACCCAAAATGACCGGCTCCCCAAGAACAGGGCCGACAAGAAAAGAGACTGAGGGGCTCAGTTTCAAAGAAGTCTGCAGAACGAACAGGGACCGATGGCTCCCCAAAACAGGGCCGATACACTGAGGGGCTCCGTTTCTTAACTCTGAGGAACAAACAAGGGGCGATTCCCCAAAATGACCGGCTCCCCAAAGCAGGGCCAATCAGAAACTCAGGGGCTCATTTCTTAACCTTGAGGAACAAACAGGGACCCCAAATGACCGGCTCCCCAAAAACAGGGCCGATAAGAAAAGAGACTGAGGGGCTCAGTTTCTTATAAGTCTGCAGAACGAACAGGGACCGATGGCTGCTCCGTTTCTTAACTCTGAGGAACAAACAAGGGGCGATTCCCCAAAATGACCGGCTCCCCAAAACAGGGCCGATCAGAAACTGAGGGGCTCGGGTTCTTAACCCTGAGGAACAAACAGGGACCGATTCCCAAAAATGACCGGCTCCATCCGGCTCCCCAAAACAGGGCCGATAAGAAGCTCAGCTTCTTAACTGTGAGGAACAAACAGGTGGCGACTCCCCAAAATGACCGGCCCCCCAAAAACAGGGCCGATAAGAAACTGAATGCTCAGTTTCTTAACTCTGAGGAACATCAAGCAGCCTCAACGCCGAGAAATCTTTAAGATTCTTTAAGAAATTGAGGCGGCGCCTTCCAAAGGTCATCCGCGTTGTATGGGAACTGAAAGCGGAGGATCTGCCCCACCGTTGGCAAGCTTTTGTCCATGCCCCCTGGGGACCGCATTGCGCATTCTCTTTTCGAAGTCTCAAAGCTAAAAAACAAAACCACGATGCTCTTTCGGGCGCCAAGGAAAACGTTCTCCCCAAAAGAGACTTCCGGTTGCAGGAGACAAGGCCAAAAGCCAGGTGCAACGTGGTTAGGGGGTCTCCTGTTGGGTTGGACCATCTCGCTTTACATGGTTTTTGCCACTTGCAGGGAAACGGACGGAAGCATTGCTGAAGCATGCTGTGAGTTCTTTTCTCTCAGTAAACGCGCGCCCAACTTGGCCACACTTGGCCGCCGGGGCTGGCTGTCCACTTGGTCATGTGCAAACAAAGCTTCCGCATGCTTCCGCGTTGGAAGTGCCGTGATCACAAAGCCCAATCTGTTTTCAAAGCGGGGCATTCTTTTGTGCCGATGCAGAAAAAGGTAGCAGGCAGCGACACTTGACATTTGGTCTGCCAAGTATTCATTCTCAAAAGGGCCCTTCCCTACACATGCCATTCGACATCCTATGTTCGTCACAAAGCCCCGCTCAAACTATCATTGCTCGCAGGTGAGTGAGCTCGCGCCTCTGCGCGCCAAAGCTGCCTATGCTCTGCAGCGTAGCACCTTGTGCCCTGGCTGGAGTTGCGCTCCGGCGGCTGCAATGCTGACATATGCTGCTTTTGTTTCTTTTTCCGGACGAGTAGGGGAGGGGCCGAGAAGCGCTTGGCATGGGAGACATGAGGGGTTGTGGCAAGCTTTGCGGCACCAAGGTCTGCAGAGGTCCCGCGGTTTTGGGATCACGCTAGAAAAGAGAAAGTCTTGCGCAATTGTGGCGGTATGTGGTTGTCATTTCCAGGACGTAGCAAAGACCGACAAGCTTGTGCAGAAGGTGCCTTGGCAGGTGGCTGCAGGGCGGGAGGTGCAAGTCTTGACGTAGATGTGGCGGTTTACAGCTCTCCGTAGGAGAAGCTCCAATATTCTGTGTTTGGAAGCTGTTTTCCGCTCAGGTGCTGGCCTACCAGCAAAACGCTGATGCGACCAAGCTTTTGCAGATCTGAACAGACGGCTTGCTGCGTGTGCGAGTCATGCGTTCACGAACTTGTTCACTACAAGTATCAGCTACAGCCACATTGGCAGCCTCAGAGTTGCTGAGTCGACTTGCGTTGGTTTGCCAAAGCTTGGGCTTCTGCGCGCTGTGACTGCTTGTTGCCTATGGTTCTTGGAAAAGTGCAATGAGCACCTGGCGTACCCTGAGGCATTTGGCTCTTGGAGCAGGCTTGCCAGGACTACGCGGGGATCGTGAGTTTTGATGAGCCCTGCAATCACACCATCATACCCTTGTGTGTCCTGACATGTGCACAGACATAAGTTAAGGGCACTGTATGATGGCATATGATAGCATATGAGTAGACATACACACATGCTTATGCACAGACAAGAAAGACATGTTTACTTATGTTAACATATGTTGACTTGCTCGGGGCTGCAGCGCAAGCACCATCACACGTGTGACATCGTGTGGCACTTTAGCAGCGAAACCAGCAATGCCGCCGCCTCTTCCAGAAAAATGTGCCAATTCCTTGGAGCAAATCTGGCTTGCTGTGTGACCACGACTGTTTCCTGACAGGGCATCAAAGCTTGCAAAGAGCAAGTCGAGCCTTCACTTTGCATTTCTGTGATTGCTGGGGTGTTCAGCAAGTGCCTGAGGTGAAATCTGCCACGGTTGGCCGCCAGGTTGATTCCTGGTCATGCGGTTTGCGCGTGCTGGCTACATTGAAGTCTTGCTTAGAATGCGTTCGTGACTTGGCTTGCTTCCACTGCAGCTGCCGGACAGTTTGTTTACCGGTTCTGCGCTCGGCGAGTTAGTGCAAGAGCTTCGGGCAGAAAGCTCCTATTGTGCGGGCTGCTCTGAGCCCCAGCAAGGCCGAGGCAGAGCAGACCGAAATGGTCCTCCGCACGCCGCCCAAAGCAGAACAACGCAAACCGCCTGATAGCTCGCAGACTCCTGCAAAAGCAAAGCTGCTGCCCAAAGCAACAGCCAAAGCAGAAGCCTGCCAACAGCAGCTTCACCAAGAAGGGAAGCAGGCAGCCCAAACAGCTGGCGTGGATTTCAATGGCACGTTCCAGGCAGCCCACGAGCAAATGGCTTGCCCATCGCCGACGGGGCATTGGCATGCCTTCACCAGACACGTAGCCACAGCCTTGTCTGCGGACATGGCTTGCGCTGCCTGCGCTGTGCTCTTAGCACAAGTGCAGGCGCACCTCTTACCTGAGAAGGCTGCGCCGAGCCCAGCCAAGATGCAGCAAGAGCCACCGCGGCCAGATTCAGATCCAGATCAAAGCCCCAAAAAGCAGAGCTTGCGACATTTGCGCGGGCGCAAGGCCAAGGACAGCAAGCCCGTGAGGCTGAGAGATTTGGCGGAGAGAGAGAGGCCTGGAATGTATATTTTCCTTCCAGGACCGAAGCGCCCAACTCGCTGTGCCCTGTCTGCGCACAGTTCAATTCCAACTTCGAGACCACTCCGCACTACATACAGAAAGTTCACGAGCAGAGCCAGAAGCACCAGCGCCTTTTGGCTGCGCAGCAAGGGCGAGCAGACGGCCAAGCCGTGACCCCCTGCCCTCAGCAGCGAGCAGATGCTACAACTTTTTGTCAGGGAATCTGTTTAGAAATTGGACATAGCCGCGCAGGCCAGCTTGTGGAATCTGCGCAAAGTTGGCTGCAAGCCGACTCTCCGGGGTCGTGCTGCTGGCGTCAGAGGGCAGTGACATCAAGCTTGCGCAGTGGTCCAGCCAACAAGGCAAGACTACGCTGAGGATGTACGAGTAAAAGTCAGAGTGTCAGGCAATCAGATGTGTTCAGATATGTCCAAGATATATGGAAAGAAAATACGTTCAGACATATTCAAGTATTTCGGCCTGTCGCAGCCCAGCCAAGCTTCCCACCTACCTTTGCCCACGGCTGCCCTTGTTGGTTCGTTTCAGCACTGCAACCTATAGCTTCTGAAGACTTCTAAGCTTGATTGCCAAGAAATATTCACCCATCTTCACCCATATTCACCCACTTTCCAAGTGTGCACAGCGGGCAGCAATGTTAGCTCAGAGCTCTTTCTTGGCAAGTTGGGGGTGCAAGATCGACACAGCCAATTACGCCGCCGTGCTCCTGAGTGCCACTGCAGAGGTTTTGCAGACATTTCGCTCCAAAATGCTTCAGTCCGACTACATGTACTACGGAGGCGCAGGCAAAGAGCCAGAGGCGCTTCCGCAAGTGGATGCTGCAGCCACTGAGGCCCTTGCTGAGAATGACAGCATCGTGGCGCCAAGCTCTGGCTGGCTTGTACAGCATTTCTTGAAGTCGCATGGCGGCTTCAAGAACATCGAAAAAATCCTCCTGGAGATACCGCAGAAATGGGCTGCGCGGAGCAAGCCGTTGCTGAGCGGCAAGCATGAGGACAAGAAGAATCGGTGCTGGGCTGCTTTTTGCGCAAGAGCCCCTGACTACTTCGCTACAGTGCTGGCGGATATACCATCAAAGAACTTTGGCAAGACCATTCTACATGCTCTTGCCTCCTTCACCCCTGTTTCCTTTGCCGCCCCCTCTCATCCCAAAAACATGCAGCGCGGACACTGCCATGACAAGCACAGCGACAGGAGATAA